TGTGGGATCTCAGGGTATGTCTACACAGCCTATGGTAGTAAGCCTTCCATCCTGGGTCAAGAGACTTGGGTTCACAATTAATAGTGTGAAGACATTGTGGCTTGGGCTCTGAAGTCTAGAGAAGAGGCTGGGCTTCAGAGTCTGAACTCCAGACCAAGACACAACTTCAAAATGCTGTCTACACTCTGTCTACCTGGGCTGGGAGGCTTGCTGCCACTGGCTGTGTAGATATACCTCAAAGATCTGAGGTGTAGTATCTGTAAGAAAACACTGCATAAGTGGGTATACTGTCCAAGGCTTGAGAACATTTGTCTGGGACCGAGGGGGTCACCCATCCTCTGTCCAGTCAAGAAGGCAGCCTGCAGCTCAACCTTATTAAGTGAACTATGTGACTGAAAGTGGTATACAGACAGCTCCTTTGCAGCTTGGGATACACTGCCGGATGAGCTTGCACCCCAGACATTTGTGTACATGTCTTGTGGTACTCTCGTGGGCTGACTCTTCTGATCCCCAGTGGAAGGTGGTAATTAATGGGGGAAAGAATCTAAAGCCTGACATGACCATTGTGATCATCTTGTCTGACCCCTGTATAACACAAGCCATAGAACTTCCCCAAAATAATATCTAGAGCATATCTTCTAGAAAAACATCCAATCTTGATTTAAAAATGGTCAGTGATGGTGACTCTGCTATGACCCTTAATAAATTGATCCAATTGTTAATTACTCTCATGGTTAAAAAAAAAGTGTTTCCCGTCTGAATTTGTCTATCTTCAACTTCCAGCCATTGTATCATGTTATTCCTTTCTCAGCCCTATAATTATCCAGGTCATCCTGTTTACCCTTTTTAAAAATTGGCACATTAGCTTTCTTCCAGTCCTGTGAGCTCCTGAGCCAGCTCTTTTAAAATTCTTAGATGTAAGTTATCTGGAGCTACTGATATAAAAATGCCTGCCTTTACTAGCTGCTGTTTAACATCCTCCAGAGATACTAGAGGAATGGAAAAAGTGTTATCACTATATGATGAGACTGTATCCTCTTTTTCTTCCCCAAATACAGAACAGAAATATTTATTGAACACTTCAGCCTTTAGTGCATTATTATTGATAATTCTACCATTTCCATCTAGTAATGGACCAATATCATAGGATTATTTTTGTTCCTAATATATATCTTATTGTCCTTAACATTGATGGCCATCGATTTCTCCTTGGGTCCTTTGATTCCCTTGTCAATTCGCTACAATTCCTAACTTCTGATTTATATTCATTACTATCAACTTTCCCTTTCTTCCATTTATCTATTTTATAGTTTCCTTCACTTCCCCTCTAAACCAGGTCAGTGTTTTAACCAATATGGCCGTTTTCCTCGATTGTGGCTTTTTGGGCATCTAGTAAACTATGCTTAAATGATTCCAAATTATAATTTACATTTTTTCCGGTTAAATTCTTCTTTCCTGCTGGTTTGGCTCATATTATTTTCAGGTTTGTGAAATTGGTCCTATTAAAGCACCAAGTGTGTGTGTGTGTGTATATATATATATATATTACTGGTCTGGACTTCATTCTGTTTTCACATTATAAATGCAATCAAGTTCCAATGGTTAATCACCCTCACTGCTCACAAATTAAGTCTTATTTCTAATTTGAACTTGTCTGGCTTGTTTCAAGACACTGGTTTTTGTTCTGCTCTTCTCTACTAGAGTACCCAGTCTTTCCTCCCTGTGGAGGTACTTGAACACTGTAATCAAGTCACCTCTCAATTGTCTTTTTGATAAACTAAACAGATTGAGCTCATTAAGTGTCTCAGTATAAGGCATGTTCTCCAGCCCTTATATTATGTTTGTGGTTCTTTTCTGCAGCTGCTTTGATTTTTCAACATCCTTTTAAAAATGTGGATACCAGAACTGTATGGAGTATTCTAGTAACAATCTCATTAACAGTGTACACAAAGGTAAACTCACCTCTTTACTTCAACTCATCACTCCCTGTTTATGCATTCAAGGATTGCATTAGCATTTTTTGTCACCGGATCACACTGGGAACTCCTGTTCTGTTGCTTGTCCACGGTGGTCCCTAAATCCTGTTCTGTCACTACTTTCCAGGAAACAGTCCTCCAATCTGTAGGTATGGCCTGCATTTTATTTGAATGGACCCAGTTTACTAAGTGATCCAGATCACTCTGTGTGACTGTCCTGTCCTCATCTACCACTCCGCCAATCTTTTTGCCATCCACAAATTTTATCAGTCATTGGGTAACTGAAGCTTGAGCATGCATAATATACGGGTTACCTAAAATCCAAAGGACTGATATGCTACAACCCAATCAGATCAAAATTAAGAAGAAATGTATAAAAGACCTTAGTGAACCTGGGCCCAAACTGGATATACAGTGGAGTAGAAACTGAAGAATGGGACTGAAGGACCAGATCAAGGGATCAGAGAAGGCGACAACTATCATGCAAGATGGAAGTACTTCTTAATGCCACAGAATGTGGTAACTTGGGCCCATTTACCAATTCTGTCTTGCCTGTTATTGTCTGACATAAATGTATGGTCAGACACTATAAGTGCCAATAATTCTGTCTGAAATTGTAAGAGGTGAAAATTGATTTAAGACTAAATTGTGAAAATAGGAGTTTGTGTGCAGTCTATTGCCCCACTGCTGTTTGAGAAACCTATTGCTGCAAATCCATCCACTGTGTCCCGCACATTGCTGAGAGTCACAGTCCTGCACACTTCCATGACAATGACATAACTTGTGTCGGCCAGTTTGTAGTGTAGTCACAGCCTTATGTGCCTCATACTGGCATAGCTATGCTAGTCAGGGGTGTGAAAAAAATACACCCGCAGCAACACAGCTAACTAACTTAGGTGGCTGTACACCAGCTTCGCTAGCTCAGTATATTTTGTTATTCCCCAGCCCAGTTCAGAATAAAGAACAGGAGTACTTGTGGCACCTTAGAGACTAACATTTATTAGAGCATAAGCTTTCGTGGGCTACAGCCCGCTTCTTCGGATGCTGTAGCCTACGAAAGCTTATGCTCTAATAAATTTGTTAGTCTCTAAGGTGCCACAAGTACTCCTGTTCTTTTTGCGGATACAGACTAACATGGCTGTTACTCTGAAACCAGTTCAGAATGTTCACTTTAGAGCCCAGAGAGGAAAAAGAATTGCCAGCTGCCTTCACCATAGGGTAACCCTACCCCTGTAGTGCCGTGTCATGAGCGCAGTGCACGCAGCAGCCATGGCAGCTATGCATCCTGCAGAGGAACTAGTCCGTCTCTCTCTCTCTCCTTTCCCAGATGAGCGAACGGCCTAGCTATTAGCAAGGTTAACAATCAAATCTAAGGTCTGTAGCATTTGAGGTATAATATTCTAAGATGGGGTTCTCAAACTGGGGGTCAGGACCACTCAGTGGGTCACAAGGTTCTTACATGGAGGGGGTCACAAGCTGTCAGCCTCCACCCCACACCCCACTTTTCCTCTAGCATTTATAATGGTGTTAAATATACAAAAAGTGTTTTTAATTTATGAGGATCGCACTCAGAGGCTTTCTATGTGGAAGGGGTCACCAGTACAAAAGTTTGAGAACTGCTGTTCTAAGAGGTCTCCATGGGTATTGTGAAGCTCACATAAGCCCCAGTATAAGCGGACAGTCTCAGCAGCTGGGCATCTGATGTCACCAGATGGGCATCCCCTTTACAGTGGATGAGGAGTTACCATCTATAACCACCATTGGATGAGTGATGGGGGGCTTGCTCTCAACAGCTATAGAGAAGGAGCAGAGTGGCAAGTGCATACCCCCTCATCTCAGGAAAAGGCTCAGGGAAAGTTTCTTTCCAACTCGAGAAGGGGCAGAGAGCAGGAGAAGCAGCCAGATACCAATTCAATGCCCAAAATTCAATCCCTCTTGGGCTACCCTTGTGTACATCTGAAAAACTGCCCCACCCTATGAAGCTTCAGAGAGAAGGTATTAGACACCATAGTAAAAAGCACAGTATAATAATCTAGATAAGACAGAAGAGAAGCAGCAGAAAACAGCTAAATGCATCACTTTATGCAGCCTGAATCGGGCTGAATCGCTGTAAGACTCATATTCTAGCCCCTGGTCCATATACCTTTGATCAGGCTCCCACTGTCCCAAAGTCATTACACTCTATATGCCTGTACTCCCCTATGTCCCCTTCCATGCGTGTTCACCAGCCATGTCTGGCTGCTGACAAACACATCTGAATGGGACTAGGCAAGTGTTTGCTCACCCTCACTGGGTCCATTACTTTGGTAAGATATTTTACTTAGTTGGGTGAGGTAATATCTTTTACTGGACCAACTTCTGTTGGTGAGAAACACAAACTTTCGAGCCACACGGAGTTCCTCTTCACCTGACAAAGAGCTCCGTTTGGCTCAAAAGTTTGTCTTCCTCACCCCCCAGAAGTTGGTCCAATAAAAGATATTACCTCACCCACCTTGTCTCTCTACTATCCTGGGACTGACAGCTACAAATACACTGCATTTAAATTAGTTGACATTCAGATTTAGTACAGGGTCACCCTATGGTGAGGGCACCTGGCAATTTTTTTCCCCCCTCTGGGCTCTAAAGTGAACGTTCAGCATTGGCTTAGGAAAGCTGCATCTTAATAGAGTGAAAGAACAGGAATCCCAAGAGGAAAACACTACACTAACAAGCACTAACAAGCCAGGGTTCAAGAGGTGTTTGTATGATTGCAGCAGTGAACACATCAGGGAATCCAAGTGTGTCAGAGAGAATGGGGACAGTGCATACATTAATATGCAGTCAAGGCATTCTTATTCTGATTCAGGTCTCTTATTTACTCCCGTGGTACAGCGCTTTGGGTGAGCTTTATGTGGCTAAGTATAGACTGGCCGTAATCTTATAGTTCCATCCCCCTCATGCCCACAACCCACTCTGTGGGAGTGTCACTGTACCATAGTTGTGAATGAGAAGAGACTTGTGATAATTTGTGAGCAACAAAGTTAATTTGCATGGGAAGAAACTTTAATCACTTTTCCTATTAAACCAAATTTTCCAATTGCCCTGCCCGCCCCTTGGCCTCACGCACCCATTTTTCCCAGGGCAGGACTGGGGCTGGGAAGGAGGGTGGAAGGTGCAAGTATTAAGGTGCTGGGGAACCACTGGCAGCTTCTGGTCCTTCAGGTGCTATTGGCCTGTTCCTGCTCAAAGAGGGCCATGGCCAGGTGCGAGCGGGAGGAGAGCCCTTCCAGGTTACTGAGCACACAGCGGTGATACAGTTCCTCACTCAGCCGGGGGTTGCAGCTCCTCAGCATATATTTCTGCACCAGCCCTGGCTCCACAGCCCGGAACAGGTGCAGGCCGGAGTAGCGAAGGAAGACATCAAATACTTCCATGCTCTCCAGCACTTCATCCCGGTCCAAAATGTCAGCCGCCAGCTTGGTGCGTGCTGCCATGTAGTCAGAGTTGTAGAAGCAAGCCTCAGCAAAGGCATGACTGTCAAAGTGCCCATCCCTCAGGAAGTCGGTGCTGGAGGAGGCGGCCTGCTCGCCATGGTACATCAGCACTGGGTTGAACTCCTGGAAGTGCATTGGAAAGAAGACCTGCCAGTTGCTGATGGTGTTCATGCGGCAGCGATTCAGGAACTCCGTGTTAACCTCTGTCCAAACGCTGGCCAAGAAGAAGAGGGTGTCCACAGGGTGCTTCTTCGACACTATGTCCATGAGCTTCACCTGGGATGGCACCTCGGTTTTGACGCTGATCCAGGGGATTTTCACCTCTGCATAGCGTTTTTCAAGCTCTCCCACCATAGCTTTGACCCCAGCAAAGACATCCAGCTGGCTGACCCGCTGAGCATCATAAGGCTGGTAGATGAAGAGCAGGGTTAGCAGGGCGTTGTCATGCGTATCCAGCGTGTTCATGGCAAACATGTCTAGGAAGTTGCTGACAAAGTCCAGCTCCTGCACGGTCAGGGGCAGCACCAGCTGCACGCGTGTAGCCTCTGTCACATAGGGCATGGGGATGATCTCCACCTTGCTGAGGGGTCGCACTAGACTCACCCGCTTAGCCAGAACATGGCTGTGGCCCTTCTGGGTTACAGCCTCCAGCAAGAGGTCCAGCACGTACTCCATGCCCCGTGTGGGGTCAAAGCGCCGGTAGCCATTCAGCAATTGTTGCTTGTAGAAACGAAGCTGAGGCTGGTAGCGGCTGTTGAGCTGCTGGAGCGCTGCCTCGATGATGTCACTAACATCAGCCTTGCTGGCTCCAGCCAGCTCACATTTGGGGGAGCCATCGGGGCAGGAGAAGAGGTGCTGCTCTGTGAAGTAGTCCCAGCTGATCACCTCGAAGCGGGATTTGGGGACAAAGGGAGCATTGATGCCTATGGGCCACGTCAGCCCACCCTCGCGGGCTGGTGTCAGCGATGTCAGGTTCCTGATCTGCATCTGTGAAGAAAGTACACTCTTATTTATAGGATCATAGGTATAGGGCTGGAAAGGACCTTGAGAAGTCACCAAGTCCAGTCCCCCACACTGAGGCAGGACGACGTATACCCCTAGACAATCCCTGACAGGCGTTTGTCCAACTTGTTCTTAAATACGTCCAATGACAGGGATTCCACCACCTTCCTTGGAAGCCTGTTCCAGAGCTTAACTACCCTTATAATCAGAAAGCTTTTTCTAATATCTAACCTAAATCTCCCTTGCTGCAGATATTAAGCCCATTACTTCTTGTCCTACCTTCAGTGGACATGGAGAACAATTGATCCCCATGCTCTTTATAACAACGCTTAACATATTTGAAGACTATCATCAGGTCCCTCCCACCCCCAGTCTTCTTTTCTCAAGAGTAAACATGCCCAGTTTAATCTTTCCTCAGGTTTTCTAAATATTTTATCCTTTTTATTGCTCTTCTCTGAACTCTAATTTGTTCACATCTTTCCTAAAGTGTGGCACCCAACACTGGGCACAGTACTCCAGCCGAGGCCTCACCAGTGCCAAGTAGAGCGGGACAAACATCTCCCATGTGTTACACATGACACTCCTATTACTACATCCCAGAATATTAGCCTTTTCACAACTGCATCCCATTATTGGCTCATATTGAATTTATAATCCACTATAATCCCCAGATACTTTTCAGCAATCCTACCACCTAGTCAGTTATTCCCCATTTTGTACTCTTCCATTTGATTTTTTTAACTCAAATCCTACCATGACATTGCCCCTGTTTTGTTTCCCTTTTATCTTCACCCAGACGCTTTCAACTTATCTGCTTCTTACCTCCTTGTGGACTCAGAACAAGTGTATGTATTCTCGATGTGTAATGCAACATTTCCTCCCTTTCTCCCCATCTTTCCATCCTGAACAAGCTATACCCTCTATACCAATATTCCAGTCATGAGATTTATCCCACCAAGTCTGATGCCAATTAAGTCATGATTTAGCTAGTGTACTATTACATCCAGTTCTTCCTGTTTACTCTCATACTCCTTGCTTTTGTGTATAGACATCTATAATGTTGAGCAGATTCCTTCACTGTTTTCCCTCTTGTTGTTCCTATGACCCTACTGTAATTTTCATCCCCCGCTCCCAACATCTAGCCCTCTTTTAAGGTCACTTTTTTTTTATTATTATTATTAAATACCTGCTTGTGGGCTTTTGTCAACTGTCCCCTTTGAATCTAATTTAAAGCCCTCCTCACTAGGTTGGTGAGTCAGTGTCTGAAGATGCTCTTCTCCTAGAGAGGCAAGTGGTCTGGTCCCGCTTCCTGCCCCCCTCTCCACCCCAGAGGGGCAAATGGCCTGATCCCGCCTCCCTACCTAGAGCTTCCTGAATCCTTGGTGGTGCAGGACAGTAGTGATTCTGATAGCCCCTGCATGAGGAGGGTGTGGTATTTCCATAGAGGAATCTGCCACTGCCTAGCTGTCAGAGATTCTCTGTTCCCCCACAAACCCTGGGAAAAAACGAGAGATCCTGTCTGACCTCACACTCCATCTCTGCCTCCGGTTCCCTGTCGGTATTCCCCCACTCAGATACCTGGAGTTGCTGGATCTCCTGGTAGGCTCTGTCCAGCTGGATCCTGCTGAAATGCTTGTGCAATCGGTACATGAGGGTCCCCTCAGAGACAGGGTGCACAGTGAGTGCCGCCTGGAAGTCCTCACCCGCCTCCTTCTCTAGGTCTGCATTTTTGGCCAGTTCATAGGAGCGGTAATGCTGGCCCTGAAATGGATGAGACTAGTTAGGAACCCTGACACTCACACTGGGTCCTCCCTCCCCCACCCATTCATTCCAAGGGTGGTGAGACCCAGAGAGACAAACACTTGGGCATGGGAGTGGGTTTCACCCTCCACTCCTCACTTCCTATATCAGAGGAGAATCCAGATCTCCTTGTTCTTTCTATCCTCGGCTGCCTCCCACTTCCTTGAAAAATTGTGAAATAGATGAAATCTGACTAAATCTGTTCTCTCAAATGTCAGTCTAGCTCCACCTCCCAAGTGCTGAGGGTGAAGACTGGTCTCTCGTCCCATGCTGCTACCCCACATCTCCTTTCTGCCCAGTACTTCACAGCATAGATTTGGAGGCACTCACCCCTTTGCCCTATGGCACAGGCATGGGAGGGTGTGGAGTCTATTGGGTTGAGGCTGTGCCCTAGCCCCTGGAAGGACAATACCTGGTGCTGGGAGACGCAGCTGATGCCCAGGAAGTCGATGATGCAGCGTCCCAGCCACTCATCCGGGCGCACACTGAGAATCTCATTACGGCAGCTGTCCAGATGCCGATGCAACTTGAGCAGCAGGCTCCGGGAAACCAAGTAGCCAAAGCCACCATGGCAGTAGCGGGCCTGTTCATCCCCCCCAATGAACTCCTCAGCCCGTCCCAGGTAAACATCCTGATTAATGCTTAGGTGCGTCACCAGGGTCTTGATCTGCTCGGCCTGGGCATAGGTGTCATCCTGCATGACATAGAACCAGTCATAGTCACCCCCAAAGTGCTGATGGATGTAGCGCATGGTCTCATACATCAGCCAGACTGGGCGTTCGTCCCCATGTGACACCAGCGCCATACCATGAGGCACCTTGGCGCTGCGCAACCCTGTAAAGTACAGCAGGTGTGGAAAGTGATGGGCCACTGTCTTGTTCACTGCCACAGCCAGTGTGTTCATGGTTGCCTTGGAGGTGAGCACAGCCACAAAGAGCCGTTCATGGAAGCCCAGCTCTGTCTGGATATAGCGAGTCCTGCAGGGAAAAGCCATGGTTACAACACAAGCAGCTGGGAGAAGGGAATGAAACATCTATCCCTATACTCGCATCAGAGGCAGAGGGGGCACCCATACCCACAATTGATGTTTCAAGTAATCCGATTCCTTTAAAAGCTCTGACTTAGGGCTCAGCTGGACACATTACTAACGATCTCACATTTTTAAGGCACCTTCCTACTTCACGGAAACCAAGGCTAGTTAGCATCCTAACGCTTGTATCCAGCTATGCAGAGAGATGGCATCACCCACTAATGAAAGACTGCCCCCTCTGGGCTGGGATGTAGCAGTGGTTTAACAGCCACACAGCAATGCTGAACAACAGTTTAGGGCAAGAAGTGAAGCTAACTATTGCATTCAATAGAAATTTTAGGGGGGGGGGGGAGAGTTCAAGGGGGCAAAATGTAAATATATGAGAGATCCTTGGATACCCTGGCGATCACATCTTGATTCCTGAAAAAGTGCCACAGGATCTTTAATGACCACAAATGATCAAGATCTTGCTTTTATATCATACCTGAAAGATATCAGTCTGGCAGCACTGACTTAGAGGGGAAACTGACCCCGAGAGATCTACCCACCCAGCAGTATAGCACGCCTTAGTGCCACATGATAGCATTGGGATCAGCACTCACTAAATGGAGAGTGCACTCACTACCAACCCCTCCCCCCCGCAGCCTCTGTTTCCTATTCAAGTACTAGGAACATAGAAATTGCCAGACTGGATCAGACCCGAGGTCCATCTGGTCCACTATCCTGTCTCTGATGATGGCCAGCACCACAGGTTTCAGAGGAAGCTGCAAGTAGCCTTTTAATCACTAGTAGTTTGACTGGTTTAAACCCTGAAGCATGAGGTTAAATAGTTCTTCCAAAATTTATGTTAGCACTATAAGAAGTTTAGCCTCATTGACATCCTGTGGCATTGAGTGAAAAGCATTTCCTTTGATTAGTTTGGAATTTCCCACCTTTTAATTTAATTTAATGTCCCTTTTTTCTTGTGTTTTGAAACAGGGAGAACAGAAGTTGCTGATCTTGCTTTAGACCCCTCATTATTTTATATACTTTAATCATGTCCCCACTTGTCTCCTTTATGAGGTAACAGTCCCAACTTTTCAGCCATTTCATAGGAGAAGATTCCGCCCCCCCCCCTCCCCCCAATCACCTAATCATTCTGGTCTTCCTTCTCTGAACCCCCTCTGTTCTACAATGTGCTGCACACAGTACCCAGATGAGGCCATGTCATTGATTTATAGAAATGCATTAATTTTTTACTATTCTCCATTCCTGATGTAACTGAACATCTTGTTTGCTTTTTGTGACTGCACCTGCAGACTGAGCAGAGATCTCCGTCTCTGTAATGACACCAGGTTACTTTCCTGAATTGATTTTGAACTGTGTAAGTTATGAGTAGATTATTTTTTCCCCTCCAATGTGTAGTGCTTTGCAGTTAGCAACATTGAATTTAATTTGCCATTCTGTTGCCCATTCATCTAGCTTGATACAGGCTCTCTGAAGTTTTTCATGGTCTGCTCTGAAAAGACAATTTTCCTTTGGAGAAATTGTGCTGGCTATACACTGTCACATCATAATCTTCCAGCCATTTTATTATACTATATTTAATTATAGTTTCAACCAACTAGCCCAGTCTGACCCTGTTTAGCCCCTAAGAGCTGATGGGACCCACATGTTAGACATAGGCGGTCACCTTCACCTCAGAATGACTTGCTCAAAAGTGACTAATAAAAACAACGATGTCATCTGCAAATTTTGGTACTTTACTGCTCATCCCTATGGTGGGGTGTCTACCCAACACTGTAATGAAAAGGGTTAAAACTGGAGCTTGGGAGCTCAATTAAAAAGTGCCTGGCCACACCTGCAGGGTGGGCCAGTCACAACAACTGATGTATCCTAACTGGGAGAGGAACTGGGGTCAGTATAAACAGAGGAAGTCTGTGGCAGAAGGGGTGACAACTGAATTTAGTATGAGGGGCTTAGTGAGTGTTTCAGGAAAGTGAGGCAACATTAAAAAAGCTCCACTACATTTTTTAAGGATACTCAGCCAGGTAAGAGAGTGTAGTGGCATGGATGTATGGGGAATATAGTAGGTGATGGTTATATTCAGTAGATGAGTCCGCTTCACTATAAAGCATAAGATGATGAAGGGGGCTGCAGGGAGAGAGGTAGGAACTCTGCAGTTGCTCCCTGGGATTAGGGAATGGAAACAGCCCTAGCAGACATTCAATTGACGACTAAGAGAGGACTAAAAGATCAAGCCTAAGGAGGGTAGAAGGGGGTTTAAGCTTACACTTTTACTTTGGCATTTATTGGGGGATTCCAGGAGGGAGTGCTGAGAGTCCTAGCCCTCCAAGAAGGGTGAACTCACAAAGGTTGTGGGACAGGCCTACTTACAGGCTTAGTATGAAACAGTCCAGGGAAACGGCAGCAAGAAGTTTGAGGGATTGAACCTTGACTTGCCTGCTGGAACCCATTGTAGAAGCAGGCCTGGATTCCCCTACAACCACTGGTGAAGCCTCTAAGAAGGGAATAGATGACTGCAAGTCATGAGGAAAGGGCATATGAACCACTGGGACCAGGACCAAATGCAACAGACTAGATCAGGGATCGGCAACCTTTGGCACACAGCCCATCAGGGAAATCCACTGGCGGGCCGGGCCACTTTGTTTACCAGCAGCGTCCGCAGTTTCGGTTGATCGCAGCTCCCACTGGCTGCGGTTCGCTGTTCCAGCCAATGGGGGCGGCGGGAAGCGGCATGGGTTGAGGGATGTGCTGGCCGCCTGCAGATAAACAAACCATCCCGGCCCGCCAGTGGTTTTCCCCGATGGACTGCGTGCCAAAGGTTGCCGATCCCTGGACTAAATGGAGCAATTAGACATTTTATTTTTTGGACTGTTTGCTACCCTGAAAGGTGTGGCACTAAATAATGACCTGGCCAGAGCTGAGTTACGGGAAGACAGAAACTGCGGGACAGAGCAGTTATAAATAGGGGCCACCAATCACGGAATGTGTCTGCTATGCCACATCCACTGATGAGAGGGCATGCCTGCCGCGAATGCACTCTTCTACAAACCCTCCTTTCCAGAACATTAATAAATATATTAAACGATATAGATCCTAGGATGGAACCTCGAGGCCCTGGCTATTAGCTTTCTGTCATGGTGAATATTGACTACTTATTCCTTCTCCTTTGTTTTCTTTCTCCTAGCCAGTGTTTGATCCATGAGGAGGCTTTGCCTCACACCTGGACTATTTAATTTATTTAGTAGCATTTTGTGAGACATCTTATCAAAGCCATTTTGAAAGTTCAAATAAGTTGTCAACCGCTTCTCTTTATCTGCTACTTTTCCATATTCAAAGAATTCTAATATACTAGTAAAAAGCAACAGAGGGTCCTGTGGCACCTTTGAGACTAACAGAAGTACTGGGAGCATAAGCTTTCGTGGGTAAGAACCTCACTTCTTCAGATGCAAGTAATGGAAATCTCCAGTGGCAGGTATATATCAGTGTGGAGATAACGAGGTTAGTTCAATCAGGGAGAAACTGTTTCTGTAGTTGGATAGCCATTCACAGTCTTTGTTTAATCCTGATCAAATACAGTTATATTAGCTCACTTAAATAAAATCTCCCTTATCTACTTTCAAACTGTGGTTATAT